CCCCTGCTGATAAGACGGTTCATCCATCTGTCTAGAGCACACGCTCGCTGCCACTCCGCGTAACGTTAGGGAAGCGGGCACGCATTTTGTGCTGCTGCATTTTTTTTTTACAGATGCCAACCAATTTACAGCCTCTACCGCTGTCATGTGCTGCAAAGGTGTAATCCGAGCCACCCAAGGAGAGGCTTCCTCGAAGGGGCCCTGAAGGCGCCTCTGTGCGGGCTCACATCTATGCTGATGTGAGCTGGCGTGCGCTGGGGGGAGGCATGCGCGCCCATGGCCATGCGGTGCCGTTTAGGTGAGGGCTGCTGCTGCCGCGGGGGCGCGCATTGTCACCACTGCGGTCAGAGGAGGCAGCGCACAGCCTAGGCTGAGAGCGAGGTTTCCCACTGGACTCGGTCTGCTGAAAACATTCACTTTTGGCTGCTGTGTCACGCGTGCATTTTGTGTGTTTTCTCGAGCTGCGGTGATTTTAAAAACCTGTTTGGAGGACACCGGCTCGCTTTGTGTGGAGGATGTGTGAGGAGAAGCCGCTGTGAGATCATTCGAACTGACAGTCAGGCTGAAATCAGACACTTTAATTTCTGAATGATGTTTATGTTTTATTTCAAAATTTAAACCATCATTGTGCACACACACATCCTCCACAAGGAGTCCTTTTTGAATCTTCTCCCCTGTGAGCGCTGTGGCTGGATGTTCTAGGACGGCGCCTGTTGGCGGTCTCAGGAGGAAACGCTGCACCGCTGGTTGCCAGGATGAGGAGGGCTGTTCTCTGACGGGAGGGGCTGGCAGCGGAGCGAGAAGACGCTGCAGCAGCTGTGGAACATCTCTACTGCTGCCTCTGGCCACGGCGCTCTCTCCAGCGGGCGGGGTGGGGGGGTGGTGGGTGGAGAGGAGGGGTGCGGCTTGACCAGATGGCGCAAAGTCTCCGACACCACCTCCCACTTCATCGATTTCTCGAGCATGGCCTTGAAATTGGCTCCGAACAACACGTCCGTTGTGATGGGGCCCTCCAGCAAGTCCTTCTGCAGCTTCTCTGGCAGGGAGGGGAGTGACGAAGCCAGGTGAACCTCTGGATTATCGTCATCCAGGCTGCGATGCGAGACAGGCAGACAGCAGAAGAGGTGCACAGGTTGAGAATGACGTCAGACGCCTTGCAGAGGGAGCTCTTCGTCTCCTCAGGCAGTTCTGTTCCCTCCAGCCTCTTTGATATGCTGTACGCCAGCAGCGCAACGTTACTGTTCGCTGCGGCCGCCTGGAACACACAATGGTGATCTTGGTTGGAGAGCGATGTCACCTTCTGGTTATACTTCCCCAGAGGCACAGTACGCTGGTCCAACCTGGACATCTTTGCTCTGAGAGCCTCAGCCAGGCTTGGCTCTAGGGGGGGCACCGAGGGAAAGTCCGCTCAGTAAACCCTTCCAATCTGGTGATGGGCGCAAATGTGGAAACAGGCGCTCTCAGTCTACCAGGTCCGGCTGCAGCCTCATTCCAGTAGAACGTCACTGCAGGGAAACGAGGCCAGATGGGATCAGGACGGCGAGCCGGGGTGAAGCCAAACCTTCCTGCTAGATCATCCAATCTGGGTGGGGGAAGGAGAGGGACGGAAAGTCCCTTCGTGTCAGCCGCCTCCTGGATTATGCCGAGCAGCTCCGAGAGGAGGGCACTGACAACAACGCCTTTTTCGAGGGAATCAGCCGATTCACCTTGAGAGAAAAAAAAAACGCATTAGAAAAGGCGGTGGCGTCTTCGACCGTGTAGCGGCCCTCCACGAAAAAACATTCAGCGGGGCTGCTGCTAACAACGCCTTATTTGAGGAAATCATTTGATTACCGCAGGGAAAAACACGTTAGAAACGGCGATGGCGTCGTCCAGCGGGTAGCAGCCCGCCATGGAAAAGCACTCCTCAGAGCTTACCTTGAACAAGGCTGAACCTTGGACGGCAGGAGGTTGGCGTGGCGGAGACCCAGGCGTCCTTAGCAAAGGTTGTGCTTTTCTTTCTTCCTTCCTGACTTTTCCTTCTTTATTCTTCTGACAGTGCTAGCTAGCTGGCTAAAGAAAAAGTGGGAGCCGATTACCCAGTCTCACCGTAATTTATACGGACCGGGGGTAAGGCCCACACAGCAGGTGGGCATGGACTAAAGTTTTCAGTGCTGCGCTGCATGCCTAGGGATAAACTCACTAGCGACAGTCTTAAAGGGCGAAGCCTATACGAACAAGAACTCCTGAAGTTAAGTACAGTACAAACAGATGAGCCTAAACAGAGTTTTCTGTGACTGAGATGGAGCACTTCATCTTCACTGGACTACAAAGTTCATGCTCAATCATCCAGGTACCAAATCCAATAATTCTCAGTCGGGTCATCTGGACAATTTATTTTTTATAGACGTTTCGCCCTCTATCCAGAGGGCTTCATCAGTCAGAGGAGTTCCAGTAAACTGTTTCCCCACAAAGCAGTAAGTAGTCCTTAAGTGGACCAACCAGTTTGCTGGAGCTAAGATGGGTTCTGGGGGATGTCCTGTCCCTTTCTGCTTCATGCCGTTTCTGGTGGACCGAGAGATGGGTAAAGGAGCTGAGAACATCCCCCACCATCTTTCTATCAACCGGGACTGACAGGTGAAATTCCAGAGTATCTAGACCTTGGAGTAAGGTACCACATTCCCTCCACTCTTCAGCATCACATCCGGCCTGCAACAGGGGTTTTATTTTGTTTTAACTAATTTAATTTAACTATATGCCGGCTTAGGTGTATGTTAGAGGGTGGGCCCACTTGATTTGGTGTAAACTTTAATAATCAGAAACTGAAATAATTTATTATGGACTGAAAATAATGGGAATTACTGTGAATGTTTTTGTTTAAATTTAATACAAGTTATTAAAGCTCAAAACTTTAGTCCTGTGTTGTTGGTTATTTAAAAAAAATAACTAAGTTTGAGTTTAAGGGTTTTAATGAGCTCAGGGGCCCTTACCTAGTTTAGAGGGGTAGAGGTGAGCTACACAAAGTATTTATAAGAATCGAGAAACTCAATAGGGACACCATTCGCAGATAAGATGGTAGGAAGGGCTGCTGGTACAGACTTCCTGTTTCAAAACAACTTCCCATTGGTTTTATCTGCATTTAGCACCAATTTGAGATGGAACAAATCTGACTGGATGATGTCAAAAGCAGAGTGTAAAAGCTGGAAAACCTTAGCAACTGATTTAGCTCAACAATAAACTGTGTCATCCACATAGAAATGTAAGGACGCATCAGGAATTATCTGACCTACATTATTTATATAGATTGTGAAGAGGGTGGGTCCTAAGACTGAGCCTTGTGGTATATCATTGTTGACAGTTAAATAGCTGGAAGAAGAACCACACTTAAAAATCACTTTAATGATAAATAATTATTAAAAGTTAACCGATTTATCTGAATTTCAAATGTGTACATCAGCAGATTACGTCCAAGACAGAGGTAGCTGTCAAATTGGGTTGGATGCATTTTTTGTTTTTTTAAGACCACCCACATCTCGCTGGTCACAAGCATCCAGTCAGAACCCAGTGGAAAGTGTGCTCGTGTTTGCCTTTTCAAAAGGTCATTGAACTGTACACCAGCAGAGGAACTGACCTGCTCTCCTTGGCCGACTTGTCACACTCGATGTCGAACTGCCATCTCTCCAGAACCTCATTGGTCTCCAGACACGTGATAACCAACACCAGCTTCTGAACAGTGCACTCAAACAACCATTCTGCAACACACAGCATGATCCTCTTCATCACTTCATCTCAACAGATATCAGGAACAATGCTCAGAACTCAAGACTAACCTTGTGAGCAACATGAGAAACTCTACATAAAGGTTTTAATTGGGGAAAAACTGGGATTAGAAAGAGATCTATGCAGGTGTTTTTATTGGAGCCCGACCAATATATTATTTGGTAGGGCCGATATTTTAGCCCGATATACAGGTGCTGGTCATAAAGAATAAATGGTAAATGGACTGTACTTATATAGCACCTTTCTATCTTATCAAGACACTCAAAGCACTTTCCACTACTATCTGTGCCTCATTTACCCATTCATACAGCACTCTACTAGATCTCTACAAAGACAATTGAACAAATCATTCTAAAAAGACTAATCAGAGTTTTATATCACATTCATACACTAATGGGACACACATTGATGGCAATGAGGGGTTCAGTGTCTTGCCCAGTGACACTTACCATACCATACCATTTTATTTATAGAGCACTTAAAACAGCGACAAGGCCAACCAAAGTGCTGTACAGACAGAACAACAGGTAACACACAAAGCAAAATACAAAATGAAGTAAATCAGAAATATACACATAAATACGATGCCGATAATGACGACAAACCAGTGTGGAGCATACAGGTTCAAAACACAGAGCCTCTGGTGTTGAATGCTACTGAATAGTAGTGAGTTTTTAAACGGCACTTGAAAACCAAGAGGGAGGGGGCCTGTCTGACAAGCAGAGGTAACTCAGTCCAGATTCTTGGTCCTGCTACAGAGAAGGCCCTGTCACCTCTGCGCTTAAGACGAGTTCCTGGAACTGTGAGGAGCAACTGGTCTGCTGACCTCAAGGAACGTGATGGGACATACGGTTGTAGCAGATCAGAGAGATAAGGGGGAAGAAAATGTTCAGTGATTTGTAGACATACAGGAGTATTTTGAACTGGATTGGAAAGTGAACCGGTAACCAGTGCAGGGAGGCCAAAACTGGTGTAATGTGCTCTCTTTTGCCTGTACTGGTTAAAAATCGGGCTGCTGCATTCTGGACAAGTTGTAGTCGTGCTATGGAGGTTTGACTGATACCAAACAGGAGCGAATTGCAGTAATCAAGCCTAGATGTAATGAATGCATGTATTACTGTCTAGGTTATTTTTGGACAATATGGGCTTCAGTTTAGACAGCTGCCTCAGTTGGAAGAAATATGATTTAACAATCATGTTTACGTGATTGTTAAGTTTCAGGGAAGGGTCCATTATCACTCCCAGATTACTGACTCTTTGTTTTTCTGACAGGGTTAGAGTGGAAAGGTCGATGCAGTGGTTTGTAATCGTGTCATTGGGATGGAACAACATGACTTCAGACTTCTTTTCATTGAAACTTGAAAAGTTTAAAGCCATCCAGTCCCTGATGTCAGCCAGGCAGTCGAGCAGAGGTTAAATAGAGCATGTACCAATGTGTCTTAGGGGGAAGTAAATTTGACAGTAGTCGACGTAGAAGTGAAAGGGTTTGTTGTGTTTCTGGAAAATAGCACCAAGTAGCAGCAGGTATAGAGAGAAAAGGAGGGGACCCAGGATGGACCCCTGTGGAACCCCGCATTTAAGCTCTGTCGCTGCAGAACTAAAATCCTTGATGGAGACACAAAAGGATCTGTCAATGAGGTAGGATCTGAACCAATTGAGGGCTGACCCTGTGATGCCCACCCACTGCTCCAACCTAGCAATGAGGATCTCATGGTCATTGGTGTAAAAGGCGGCTGTGAAGTCCAATAGGACAAGCAGCACAGAATCACCGGTATCTGTGGATCTAAAAATGTCATTAAAAACCTTTAATAGGGCAGTTTCAGTGCTATGGAGAGGTTTAAAGCCAGATTGGAATAGCTCCAAGATGGCAAGATCCTCCAGGAAGAACTTCAACTGGGACTCAACTGTTTTCTCCAGTATTTTAGAAACAAATGGGAGTTTGGAGACAGGCCGGAAGTTGGAAACGAATGAGGGGTCAAGGTTTGGTTTTTTCAGGAGAGGCTGGACAGCAGCATGTTTAAAGGTTTTTGGCACCACACCAGTGGATAAACTACTGTTTACTATATCAAGAATGGACAAACCTAGAGTAGGAAAAACCTCCTTTTGTAGTCGAGGGGGGACCACATCAAAGGGGGAACCAGAAGGTTTCAAGCTGCACATGACCTGCTCTAGAGAAGATAGAGTGATGGGTTCAAAATGGTCAAATAGAGCTACAGATTGAGGTGGGATGGATGGGTCATGAGTTGGAGGGGAAATGAGAGCCCGAGTGGTCGCAATTTTTTCCAAAAAGAAATGTAAGAAGTTCTCGCACAGCTCAGTCGAGGCTTCCAGAGGTGATGGTTCAGTGAGGTGGAGAACAGAGTTTAGGGTAGAGAAGAGGACAGGTGGGTTGTGAGAGTTTGAGGTTATGATATCAGAAAAGTATTTGGATTTAACAGCTTTTACTGCTTTCTGATAACGGCGCCAACTCTCTTTAAGTATTTGAAAAGAGACCTGCAGTCTATCTTTCCTCCATTTGCGCTCTGTCCTCCTGCACTGCTACCCAACGGCCTTGGTGACGTTACTCAGCCAAGGTTCTGCTCTGAGTGTTGATTTTCTAGTTTTAACAGAAGCGACATGATCCAGTCTTTAAGCAGATAGAGTTGAACTGGGATGTCAGCTCCTCAGTGGTGGTGAGAAACACCGGGGGCTGAATGATCATTTCAGAGTTATAAGCATCTGTGAAACGTGCGGCAGTAAAGTGGTTAATGGCTCAGCTACTACGTGCAGGAATGCACGGCTTAGGAGTTAGATGGAGGAGGGTGAATTCAAACCGGACTGGCATGTGGTCTGAAAAAACATTATCACCAATTTCAAGATTACTAACAGTCACATCACGAGTTAAAACAAGGTCCAGCGTATGTCCGCGCTGTTGGGTGGGACGGTTTACATGCTGAGTTAGATTAAATGAGTCCAATAAATCAAAAAAGTCCTTAACCAAGGGCTTCTCAGGGCAGCACACATGCAAATTAAAGACCCCAATAATGAAAACATGATTATATTTTGGTGTGATTTCAGCCAAGAAATAAGAAAAGTCATTTATGAAATCTTTAGACCGAGGTGGGCGGTAGACGAGTGCGCATAAAGTCAAAGGCGAATGGCCGAATTCAAAGACGCTCAGCTCAAAGCTGGGGCGGGAAACTGGGATGGGCAGTTGTTTACAGTCAGAAATTGATTTGAATATTGTTAATAATCCACCACCGCGCTGGCCTGATGGCCGCGGTGCATTAAAATACAGACAGTTCGGTGGCAATAATTCCGTCAAGGCGCTGGACTCACCCGGAGACATCCAAGTCTCTGTGATACAGAAAAAGTCCAGATCATGCTCTTGAAAGTAGTCCCTGAGGATAAAAGTTTTGTTGGCAATAGATCTTGCGTTGACCAAATAGACTTTGTGAATAAGGTGAGGGATGTCATCATGGAGACTGATGAAACAATGGTCTCTTTTGATGTCACATCACTCTTTACATGCATTCCTGTTGATGATGCAGTAGAGGTTGTCAGTTTAAGATTAAAATCAGACATCACTCTGAGCAGCAGGACCACGTTTCCACAGAACAACTATGTCAACTCTTGAAACTGTGCCTGCAGTCAACCTACTTCACATATGGGGAGCAATATTATAGGCAGAAACATGGGTGCTATGGGGTCTCCAATTTCTCCTATTGTTGCCAACCTGTACATGGAGGAGGTAGAAAAGAGAGCCTTGATGTCCTTTTCAGGGACACCACCAAGTCATTGGTTCAGGTATGTTGATGACACCTGGGTTAAAATTAAATCCCAGGAAGTCCAACATTTTACTGACCAAATCAACTCTGTAGATAAATACATCAAGTTCACACGAGAAGATGTAAAAAATGGCAGGTTGGCTTTCTTGGACTGTGAGGTCTCAGTCTCTGATAGAGGACATTTGCAAACTGAGGTGTACCGCAAACCCACCCACACAGACCAGTATTTGCAGTTTGACTCCCATCACCCTTTGGAACACAAGTTAGGAGTCATCAGGACTCTGTGCCACAGAGCAGACAGCGTCCCCACTAACTCAGGAGCCAGGCAGAAGGAGAAATCCCACACAAAACAGGCTCTAGAGCAATGTGGATATCCTAACTGGGCCTTCCTGAAAGCAGAGAAGAAACACAAACAGGACTCCAGCCAGCCATCAGGTGAAAAGGAGGAACCCAGACGCAGACCAGTGGTCATTCCATATGTTGCAGGAGTAACAGAGAAACTGAGACGTTTATTTTCTAAACACAACGTCCCAGTGGCTTTTAAACCCCAAAATACATTACGGCAAAGACTGGTTCATCCCAAAGATCCAGTCCCCCGGCACAAACAGAGTAATATTGTATATGCTGTTCAGTGTCTGGAGGGCTGTGATCAGTCTTATATAGGGGAAACTAAACAAACACTGGCCAAAAGGATGGCCCAGCACAGAAGAGCAACAACATAAGGCCAGGACTCTGCGGTCTACACTCATCTCAAGGCCAGTGGTCCCTCTTTCAGGGATGAAGATGTTCACATCCTGGATAGAGAGGAATGATGGTTTGAGAGAGGAGTAAAGGAGGCCATCTTTGTGAAAAGAAATCTTCCATCGTTAAACAGGGGTGGAGACCTCTGGGTTCAACTGTCCCCCTCTTACAATGCTGTTATTGCTAGTATCGCTCAGCCTCCTGTGAATAGTAAACAGCCATCAGTGTGCTAAAGATCCAACGTTAGACTGATGGTCCTTCTTGACCATGTGAGCAGCTGGTTTTGGTTGTCAGCAGCAAAACTGGTTGATCCACTCTGAGAGGGTGTTATTTATATGACTGAGCTGAATACAGCACCTCAGACTGAGGAAGTCTTTCGGATGAAAGACGAAACGTTTCCACATTTTTTTTGTTCGTTTTGCCTCGTTTTGTTTTTTTGAACGTCCAGAGGACCAGATTTAACT